GAAAACTTAAAAGGTATCAATAAGTTATCTGAAGTAATCATGAATGAGGAGAAATCCAAATGAAAGATCAAGAAACAAAAATTTCAGAAAGAAAACAACTGACTTGAAAAATTGAATAAAAATCAAGAAACAGACTATGAAAGTTACAGAAAAGAAAAAGATAATGAAATAACTAATAAAGATAATCAACATCATCAACTAAATACTGAAGATAAAATGTTTAGAAGATAACATTGATAACTTAGAAAAACGAATCAATCATTTAAGTTGAAATGAAGAAAACAACTATGTACAACAAGAAATCATTGAAGAACTTCAGTTTATAATCAAAGAACAAAAGAATAAGTTAGAGAAACTTATTCAAGAATTAGCTAAACAAAAAAAACCAAAATGATCAAGTCAAAGTTCAAAAATTAAGGGAGCCAAATTTGATAAACCAAGTTAAAACTGAAATCTTGAAATTACAACAAAAATGAAAAAAAAAGTAGACTGAGTATGACCTTATATTTTTGGATTGGTTACTTCAATTATTCTGTATGGAATTTATTGAATAATCAAAAAGTTATGAATTAGAATAAAAAAATTTTAAACCCTGTAATTCTTGGTAATGCTAATGTTCACTTTGTTTGGTTTTGTTGCAGTATATTAAAATATTTATTATAATAATTTATCAATAAATGTAATAATTTTTTTAGAAATAAAATCTTTTAATAATCATTGTATATATGGAATTAATTAATTGATTCAGGAACCTTTTCTTCCTTCTCAACACATGCTCCAAGTCCAAGGCATTTTTTGAATGCTCTTCTCATTGAAATTTATCATGTATTGTGCTTTTGAAATTTTTGAGTAAAGCTCTTAACAAATTGAATTAAGCCTAAAGTTCTGAACAATCTGAACCAAACATTCAGCTCAACTTGACTTAGCTTGAGTTTTGATGTTATAGGTAACATTGCCTAAAAAACAGTTTAAGGACATATTTTCTTGAACACAGCTTGAACTTGTAAATTCAAGTTTTAACTCAAGTCTGCTTAACTAGAGTTTCTATTCAAATAAAACAAAACAAAACAAACAAAATGAATGATTCAAATGATTCAAATAAAGTGAATAAATAAGATTTTGTATTACAAATAGGAACTCCAGCTCCATCTAGAATAAAGATTTTTTGAACATTTTGTATCTCATTTTAATTCTGCGAATATCTAAGCAAAATTGTGAAATTTTCTCATTTAAGGAATTATAATTAAATTCATATTTACTACTAATTTTTAAAAACATATAAAAACATATAGAATTGTTGAAATGTGTGATTAGTGACTTTGGTATAGTGAACTTTAAATGAAACGAAGTTTGACTGTATGCATATATTTCAGAACCTGAAAAACATTTTTTATTAAAAGCATAAATATTGCCAAAATATATAATTGTTCTCATTTGGAATTTTTTAGTCTGTCATGATGATGATTTAAATTATATGTTATACAATTTATCCATCATTTTACTTTGTCAGATTTTAAAATGATTTGATTACAAATCACCACTTAAATTCAAAAAATTTGATTTGAATAAAGCCAGACTTTAAATTAATATTATGTTTAAAAATAAAATATGTTTATAGATAAATTTATGTACAGGATAGATAGTATTTATTGTCACCGATTAAATTTTGGTGAGCGTGTTTTAATGGGTGATAACAATTATTTTTGTATTTGTGTAGATCAGAATAAATAGGTTATCAACGAATTGATTTGGTTATTAGCGAATAATTTTGGTTAAGGAAGATAATAGTTTTGTTTAAATAAAATATTACTATTTTATTTATTTAGTTTTCTTAGTCGAAACTAATTAACTTGTTAGAAAGTTACTTTACAGTAGGTCAAATTCGAGTTCTTTATATACATGTTAATTGATTATAGGCCCATTTGAGTTCTGGAGTCTATATGGGTTCGCACGCCCGTTTGGGTTCATGGGTACATCGTCACTAATAATTAAATAATTTAATAAATATTATCGTGTTACGAATTAATTAATATATACTAATACTAATACGAAGCGTAACACGGATATAAACGATAATAATAAAATAAATAATTTAAATTATACAAGTTAATAATAGAAAATATATAAAAAAAAATAATTAACAGTTAAAATAAAAATTAAATTATCCCGGAATTAAGAGATTCGGCCAAAATATCTGCGTCTAAGTCTAATTCCGGTAACAATATTATTATTACTCACTACTTATTCTGTGCATAATTTTTTATTATATACCAGATAGTATATATTAATCGGTTTGAATTTGATTGATTGTACAAATACAATCAATAATAATTAAATATGACAGGTTCTAGCATTATGATAATTTAATAATTTCTCAGTTTTTTATTATTTTTTTCCTGAATTACTTGATGTCAGCTAATATTTTTCTATTTTTAACCCATATGACAATCAATAAGCCTTTTCCTTCTTGATGAAACATTTTCGCCTTTCCTTACAATTGGAAATATTATTCAAGTATATATAAATGACCATCTTTAGACTACTCTTTCAATAGTATCTAGCATAATTGTGCCAATTTCAAAAGTATCGCCAACTTTCATGAATATGTGACATGATAATTGTTGTCTTCTTCACCACTGGATAAATAAAAAATTGAATTCATGTTAATATATAAATATAAATAGATAATCAATTGTCTTCATTTAAATGATTTTTATCAATAGTGTTTTCAACTTGATTTGTATCTTCACAATCAACCACAAGATGAATTAGGCAAGTTCCCGAAGAAGTTATAAAAGAAGTAGCAGCCAGATATAATAAATGGTCTTTTGACTTGACTTTTCAATTTCACTTCTTCATCTTCACAGCTATTTTCATCTGCATTTAAAACATGGTGCTAATGAAATTATTGAAACAATAAGGTAAAAACATATCTGCAGGAATTTATTGTAATTCATAATAGGACTGGGAAAACTGTTGTGACCGCCAAATTAACTGCTTGATCATATTAACGAAAGCTGTTTGGTGGATTTTAAAATCACGTGACTTTATTTATTCCTATTACACAGTGTATCTCGGTTTAACGGATCTCGATTTAGCGGATTTAGGGGTTTAACGGATAAATTTTCAAAACCAA